GGAGCCTCACCTGGCATTGGGACTGTACGGTAAAAATCAGCCATTGGCATGCATGAGTACGTTACATCACTAAAATGCTGCCTGAGAATGTCATATATTATGTTTGGATTTTCCTGAGGGTTCAGTGAGGGACTGCTTCGCAATGTTATTCTGACAACATCTTTGGCTTTGCCCATTAACTTTGACATTATCTCAGAATGTTGTTCATCAATGGGTATAGCTCGCTTCTTGAAATACACTTGCATCGTCTCTCGCCACTCACACACTGTATTTTTGTCCAAACCATCTCCTCTGAAAACTGGAGGCTCCCTCACATCCGGCTGCAGGACAAATCTTGCACCTGACAAGTTCAAGTGGGTTCACCGGACAACTGCCCCGCACCGCCCTGAGCTGGCGTGTCATTTAAGCTTTGTCCCACTTCACTTCTTAACTGATCTTTTATAGTCTGTCCTACTTGTTGTGCAATGTGAGTTATCAATGTGTTTAGCTTTGAGTCTGATACAGCAGAAGCACCCAATACATTCTCGTCTAGACTAGCATCAGCAGCTACATTCTCCATTAAACGGGTAGAACAAAACGCAGGTGAACTGACATTATCTTTACCTCGCACTGGAGTTTCGGACCACTCAACCCTGGGTCTACCCCTACCCATACCAAAAGGGAATACATCAGTTTGAACCTTTTGTTTTTCCCCCTCATCAATAATGAATGTCATTTTGTTTTCAAGGGCTGATAGATTATCAAAATAAAACTTGAATGAACTCCTTTTGACAAGAGTGATAAAACGTCTCAACTATGTACATAAGTGTCTTTTTCACTTTTCATGAGACCTATCCTAAATGCTAAACCCCTTGTCGACTCTTGATGTGGCAGCAGCAACCTCTGGTGACCAATCTGGCGTTGATCCACAGCTCCAGGAACCACGATGGACCAAACTGAGCGATGTGGATCCGGGTCACGGCACCACTGTAACCGGCGTGCTTGAACCGACCGATTAGCAATCGTCTGCTTTGTGTTGTGTAGATGAAGTGAGCCGCACACAGGGGTTTGCCATTCAAGAGAAGATTTACTGTGTGAAACACAAAAATGGTCAAAATACAGCCTCCAAATGTCACAGCTCCACACACATGAAAACGATCTCTTGGGTTTGGTGCTGAGCGACCTCGTTTGTCTTTATCTGGGACTGATTTCTATAAAAAAAACAATATATATAGTATATATATATATATATATATATAGTGTGTGTGTGTATATATATATATATTTATATTATATATATATTATATATATACACACACACAAATATTGGTGAGTCCTAAAACATCATGTCAATTTGGATAAAACATTGACAGATAAACTTACATTTCTAGGAGTCCCAAACAGGCTCTCATCTACCTCAGAGGTGGAGGCCCTTGAGCGATACCGACGAGAATAAGAGCTGTTCTTAGAGCTCGTGTTAATGGATCCTGCTCTCTACAAAAGTCACGAGGTTATGATAGATACAATAGTCTGTGTAATGCATAGACTTATGTAACCGGCGTGCTTGAACCGACCGATTAGCAATCGTCTGCGTTGTGTTGTGTAGATGAAGTGAGCCGCACACAGGGGTTTGCCATTCAAGAGAAGATTTACTGTGTGAAACACAAAAATGGTCAAAATACAGCCTCCAAATGTCACAGCTCCACACACATCTCCCTCTGCTCTCCTCAGAGCAACTCAGGTGTAATAATAATTTTTACTAATTACAATAACAAATTTTTACACTGTGATCATATAGTTTTTACATTTTTTTCATGTAAATCCCCCAATCATGGCTATTTTATATTTTTAAATGAACAATAAATCATGTACAAATGGTACATGTTATAGAAGTTACAATATATGAAAAAGAAATAACATTTGGTACTGGTGTACAATACAATACTCTCATACCTGTGTGAAACACAAAAATGGTCAAAATACAGCCTCCAAATGTCACAGCTCCACACACATCTGCAAAGAAATAAAGTGGCACAGACACATGAGACCGTGCTTGCTAGCTCAAACTTACATGCTAACAGAACATTTTCTAACTGCTGTATTTGAATAAAAAAACAATATTTCATACATGTTTAATCAACAAGAACAATGGCAAAAGCCTTATAAAGCACAATCAACGTCCAGATAAAGTCAACATGAATTCCGTGTCAAAAATATTACACATAAATCAGGAGAGCAAATCTTCTCCTTACCTCCCTCTGCTCTCCTCAGAGCAACTGAGGGGAACCGCGTGTCTTCACGGAAAGTAGTGGCACCGCCAAAATAAAAGCACCTGGTATAACCAGTCAAAATAAACTTAAACACAACCCTATAAAGAAATAAAATTGGATTTTGGTGAAATTGATAAAACAGTAAGACCACATGGGCTACACTTATATGCCACAGTCGTCCAGGTAGGGACCATATGAAAGTGAGTACATTTAATTAGGCCTATATTTAATCTTATTCGTATTTTTAAAAATTTTATCCCACTATTGGGTTGTGATCTAGGTGAGTAACTTATTGATTTTGTTGGGGAAATAGTGTTTGACTGAGTTAGAATAAAAACAAACAAGCAAACAAATACATTTAATTTTGTAAGAATATATATATATATATATATATATATATATATATATATATATATTATATATATATATTATATATATTTTTTTTTTTTTTTTCTTACTAAATTATTATCATTATTATCACCTCGTGAGGTGCTCAAAATGTGCAAAGAAAAAAAAACAAACAAAACAAATGTTGTCTTACCATGATGATCCACGGGTGTCTTCGGCTACCAATAAATAAATAATCGATTCCTCTTTTTTTTTCATTCGAATTGCACAGTACGTTTGGTTTCCTACGTTTGATATGTTATGTTTCTGTTGCCACGGTAACGCCAAAAGCAAGATGGCGATGGAGGGTGCGTCTCATTTTTGCTGGTTTGCGTCCTCAAACCCTCCGGCCCAAGTCCTCAACTCTTCGATTGACTGGAGAGAGAGCCAATAGGAAACAACTCGGCTCTTCTTTGGCTCTTCTCCCTACGTCTCTCTCTCCATGAAGGGTGGGATTTACAGATGAGGAATCGAGATTAGGCAAGAGAGAACTGCTCTCTGAGATGGGACACAGTGTGCAGCGCCTTTTATAACTCTTTTGGCCAATGTAAATAAAATTTACATTTTATTATTGTGCGCACAGATCAGTGTTTCTCAAAATAGTACGTGTACCACTGGTGTGCAGGCTGTATCTGATGATATTTGTCTGCTGTTTGTCTCTGAATGATTATGTTCTCTTTTGGGTTAATCATTATTTAGATTGACCCTTTCCATTATTTAATTTTATTGAGACCTAATTCAGCCCTTGATTAAGACTAAGATTTTGATTTGGTAGTAGTCTACTCGAAACACATATATTCCCTTAAATGGTACTTGGTGTGAAAAGTTAACCACTAGCGTAGGCTATATAAGTCATACATATGACATATTTTATATCTGTTTATTTTACCAGGCAAAACATTAGAATATTTTTCATTTTGTTATAAGCAAACTAGAGCCCGACCGATACGGATTTTGCTGTGGCCGATATGAAACCGATATAATGGGAGTTGGCGCTGCCGATAGCCGATATAATCGCCGATATATTTAGTGATGTAAAAATTCACTGTAAATGTTGAATTGTTTAAAAAACTTAGGTTTGGCTCTGGTGGATTTTAAATTGGGTTTATTTAGGCAACATTTATTGTTATTCTGCCTCTTTACATCATATTTACAGACAGTAGGTTGGCTTAATGGCATTTTTGCATCACATTCTAGACACTAGTGATGGGTATTCCAGTTCTTTTTAGAAAACCGGCTCTTTTGGCTCGGCTCACTAAAAGCTGCTGGTTCTTTTGGCTCCCAAGTGGCTCTTCAGATTGTTTTGTTGCAAGCAGGACTAAAGCACGTCTAAAGCAGGACTGAATCAGGACTGAACCAGGTCTAAACCAGGACTGAAAAAGGACTAAATTGGGACTTATTTATTTTATGTTAAACTACAGTCAAATATGTTCGTTTTTTTTATTTTTTTTTATCCTACGTACACGCAAATTTCTCAACGTTTCGTTTTTAGCCGCTGCCGCTGTCAAACCACGAATCACGCGGCGTGAAGAGAAAAAAAGTGAGAGAAAGAGAAAACACGGCTCCCAATAAGGATCAGGCTCCCGTCGTTCCCTTCAAAGAGCCGGTTCTAAGAGTCATTTCGTTCGCGACGGACCCATAACTAGTAAAGAAAGTAGCGCTATTAGCCTTTAGCCGTAAATATACATGCGCGCCACGGTAATTAATTATATGCGCAAATGTCATAATTCACACGTCTGTTCACAGCTCATTTACATATCAGTGCAGGTCCAGTAGCAAATATACGGCCAATATAGTCACTTTAGAACAGACCAATAGAAAACAGTCTGTTTATATGCGGGAGCTAACCCATAACAAATGACAAAAACTAGCTTCAGAGTCGACATATTTCCAACACTCACCGCTCATACAGGCTCCTCTTCACATCACAAATCTGCACTAATAAATGTCCTTTTAATCCAGACTCAAACCGATTGTCCGTAAAAAGAATATAACCTCAGTGTTTGGATCTGTGTCTGCAGGTGTAAACAAACACACGTGAGTGACGCGGCTTTGTGGTGTGTTCAGGGACAGTACAGACACAGACAAATGACTCCGTAGATAAATACTGATGTGGAGCCACATATTAGGACATTTATCTGTCTGTAAATTGGATTAAATGAACAGAATGTAGAGAGTCTAAGCTTTATAACGAGGTACAACCTGCCCACGTGAAATATCGGCCCCTATCAGCAAGCATATCGGCTGATAGCCGATATGCCTAAAGTTGCCCATATCCGCCGATAATATCGGCCAACCGATATATCGGTCGGGCTCTAAAGCAAACTGTCTAAAAAGTTGAGCCCAAATAAGACAATAAACCAATAAATGTACATATTGTCTTTATTTACATGTTGATGCACATAAATTAGAACTACAAATTCACAAAATCTTATTCCCAACACATGGCAAATCGAAACCAGCATTTAGCGGACAGGATGAAAGGGCTCAAGGATCTCAGCCATGGTCCTCTTCTCTGGTAATATAAAAGACACATAAAGTAACATAATCAAACATTAATACCACACATATATATTATCCATCAAATGTAATGCGTTTTATTTTCATAACTGCATTATTTGTCTATATTTAACTTCAGTGTTGATTTTTAATAGACACACAAAGATGCATTATAGATTCACAGTGTAGGACTACAACATTTAATTGGGAAAACTTGCAATTAGCTGTCTATTAAAATATTACTAGTCATATTTTGATAATCATTATCAAGACTTACAGACTCTAAAATACATGCAAAAAGACGGTTCATCACAACAATATTAAAATGCCTGATTGATTTACATCAATCAAAATAATTATTGCATTAGTATATTCTTAATCTAGGATCCTTTAGTCACTATAGTTGATATTTTATTTGTTTATATATATATATATATATATATATATATATATTCCTGTATACAATAAAAATAATTGTTTGACTAGTCAATTAATTGAAAAGATACTCACTGACTAGTTGATTATTAAAATAATTGTTAGTAACAGCCTTAGAACCAAGCATTAGAAACTTTGACTTTGAGCAAAAAACCATAGCAAAATAATTTGTCCACTGTGAGACCGAGTTATTTATCTCAGTTTTGGTTGCATGCTTCTTAATCACCTGCTGTTATTGAATATTGTATTGCAACATGTAATTTCTACATTGTAGAACAAATACATGATTAATTTTATCTTGAACAGATCATATCCTCTCGTGATACATATTGCAGTTAAACTGGACTAAAAATGCGTTGATGATCACTTGCTTACCCTTTGGTACAAATTCTTCGGGATGAAGCTTAATATAACCGTACATCTCGTGGTCACGTTTGGCATATGTGTAATTTTCAATCTTAGTCAGATGATAGCCAATGAACCACCCGATAGTAGCCAAGAGAGCCTGTCGATGGAGACCTAAACAACAACAAACACCACCATTTAGCACACAACATGAGCAAAATAAAGGTAATAAGGAAGAAGGGATTATAATCACGACGTCGCCTATTCCCACACATTATTTATATGCACAGACTTACTATCTGACATAAGTGTAAAGTTGTTGTTGTTGTTGTACCCTCACTGTGTGTCCTGAAAGCGGAGGCGATGCTAACCTGATTTCAGAGGAGGCCTGTGGTTTATGCCGTTTTGGAACATCGCGACACACCAGCCGATACCGCCGAGCCACAGAGAGTTTCTGTTCAAGATTCCCGGGGGTGGGAGAGCTTTTGCCTCTTCGGGTAAACTAATGCCCATCTTCAGAAGTTTTTGAGTCACAAACCTCCTCTGACCTCCTGCACAGCGACTGCTCCACGGCTATCAAGGACGTACAGTGCACCAGTAAAAACGTCCGAGTAAAACTTAAACATGGCACGTATAGTTCCACTGTGTATGAATCCCAATACACCCATTTATGTTTTTGTGAAGTTTAACATCTATGTGCAGGCAGCATGTAGGAGGGTTGATATACCTTGTTTTTTGATGGTATATAAAAGCATATCTGTGGGTGTATCATGGATCAATTAGGGGTGTACCTAAAACACAACCACAGTTTTAGATTTAGCGCTATATTATGAATTGTTAAATATGTATCACAAAAATGCTTTTAACAACAACATGCACAACAATTAAAGGATCGAGCTTGAACCAGAGTGCATATGAGTTAAAGCTCCCACGCATCACACAGAGCACGTCTATTACGGGTGACATCATAGAAAAGCAGTCCCTCTTTTTCTTGGGTCCAGGCGAGCTGAGCTGCGGAAGATACGCAGCCACAGGGATATGCCCTGCCCAGAAGCAGCTTTGCCCATCTGATAATCTGACCTATGCATACCAAGAGGGTGTAAATCGGGGACTTCCCCGTATATTTGGTAAGTGTACACTGATTGCTTTCTAATGTTAAATCTACAGAGCTGTAATGTATCTGCACGTAGGGCCCAAATGGCCATGGTCACCGGTAGCCGCTATTGCTATTGGTGCTAGCTTCAAACCCGTTATCATCGCTGCTCAGACTGATAAATACTATTTGTGTTTATTAAATGGCAACAATTTCCCAAACACATTGATTCGAATAAATGCTAAATCATATGCAATGCAAAATGATGACGGTGCTGATGCAATGAAGCAAAGGAAAATGTGCGCATGCATTTCTGCAATCAATTTTGGCTTCGCCTAAACGGGATTTTTATTCCAACCCATGCAAAATAGAATTACTCCCTAAACACCGTGGTGACCTGCATAGTTGAGTTTTCATTAACCCTCATTTGCCTTGGGCATTAAATGCCCGTCCACTGGACTTCTTGCAAGAGAGCCTTCCCAAATTAGTTGTTGGATGTACCTACAGGCATATTTTTTTCTTGCATTCACAGTGCTATTAAGCAGATGCATTCACTTATCCCACCGTAGTCTTATTATCTTATTATGATAATGATTCAGCGTTTTTACTGTTTCAACATGCTTATGCAAATTTGCTGCAGGTGAGGATGAGTATGGAAGACTATGACTACCTGTTCAAAATAGTTCTCATTGGAAATGCAGGAGTGGGGAAAACCTGCCTTGTGCGGCGCTTCACTCAGGTTTGAAAGACAATTTGACATTATGTTTTTCATGCATCAGAATTCTCTATCTGAACACTGATGTGTTATTTCAGGGCCTTTTTCCACCCGGACAGGGTGCTACAATTGGAGTAGATTTCATGATTAAAACCGTTGAAATCAAAGGGGAGAAGGTCAAGGTAAAGGCAAAATATATTCTAACACAGTGGTATATAGTAAAGATCTCATCTGTCGAAAATTTACTCTTTATTAACTCTTTTTTTCCCCCAGCTACAAATATGGGACACAGCTGGGCAAGAGAGATTTCGTTCTATTACTCAGAGTTATTACCGCAGTGCCAATGCTCTCATTCTTACATATGACATTACCTGTGAGGACTCCTTCAGGTGCCTTCCTGAGTGGCTGAGGGAGATTGAACAGTATGCCAACAACCAAGTTGTGACTATATTAGTCGGTGAGAAGACCTAATTTGTTTCTGCTAGTTATTTCATGTGCTCTGTATGTTTGGTCTTGTAATCACATTTCTTGTTTTGGCAGGAAATAAAATAGACCTGGCAGACAAGAGAGAGGTGCTTCGACAGAGAGCTGAAGACTTTGCAGAGGCTCAGAGCATGCTCTATCTGGAGACCTCCGCCAAAGAATCTGACAATGTAGAGAAACTTTTCCTCGACTTGGCCTGTGAGCTTATCCGAGAGGCCAAACAAAACAAGCTGGACAACAATGATACTGCCCCGATGCCTGGTGAGGGTAAAACCATCAGTTACTTGAGCTGCTGCAATGTCAATTAGAACCTTCTGGCTGTTGTAACTCAGTATAAATTGACAGCAGACAGCAGATGGCTGAGCCTCTATGCCTCTGTCCAGCTCTGGTGACATCAAGCCACCACTTAAGTCCTCTCATTTATATCCAATACCCATGCCTTTTAAAAAAAAAAAAAAAAAAAGAGTTTTAGTCAACATTAGTTTGGCCTGCCAGAAAGAAGCATTTCAAAATGCTGCCATGGACTATATAGTCCGCAATGCAACAGCCTGACCACCTGATGCATCTTGGCAATCCGAGTAGGGCTCTGTTTTGTCCTATTCACCTTTTATAGAGATTTAGCATTTGCATTTAACATCAGTATTCACCAGCAGTGTTTATGTGATTTAAAATACCAGGTTTTTGTTACTAATCCTACCACACTAATTGTAAAAATAATGAGATGGATTGAGTAGTGTAAAATATGTTTACATTCAGTACCTGTTGGAAACACCAACTCTAATCAAACTTTTCATTGGTCAGCACAATCATGTGTTTGACACTACAGTTTTCTTATGCTTTTGAAAACAAGGTTGTTAGTCTTTTTAATTTCATATGAGTAGGTATTTGCACCAATGTCTTTTTTTAAACTGTGAAATACTGGAGTGAAACCCTATAGAAGATTTGTACTTGCTGCTAAAATATTTTAATGTTAACATTAATTAAGTGAAACAAGCATACAGTTAATACGCTACAACACTGAATCAGTATTAAATAATGCCATTACAATTTGTTGATTTTACTTGCTTGTCTTTAGCTGGTGGATGTTAAGTGAAAAGGAAATTGGCACTGTCATTTTTCTTTTGCAAATGTTTTATATACCTTCAATTTGATCTAACTGCACTGATGTGACTATTCCTGCCTTTGTTGTTGCTATATGCCAGTAAGAGACCATTCTTGTAGTTTCTTTTTAAATGTGCATTTATTGTGTTGAACGGTCCAGCATGTTTTGCCATAATATGTAGTGTCTGTTACATTTATTTGCCATAACTGTTTTGTACCATATTGCACAATGCCATACACTGCACATTTTGTAAAATTTTGTCTTTTATTGTACAAAAATGTAGTACATCTCAGCACTTTGCTTTAATATTTTAGTTATACCTTTGTTAAACTGGCTGACATTATCTTTTGCATTTGAACCTAGATCCAACATGTTACTTATTGTTAATCTCTAATAACTTCATGTCTATAAAACAGAAATACAATGCCCATTTGTGTGCACTCTCTTGTGTTGCCCCTTTTAAAATGTAATACAATAATGTAACAGGCCTAAGACATTCAGGATATCTGTCTTATAAACCACAACCTTTTATTTTGTACATTGTACATAGTTACAATACCTATTTTTAAATGCGTATTCTATTTGTTATGGATTGGATTTTGTGATGGTGTCATTTTAATTTATTCATTTATTTATTTGTTAGCCAGTATTTTCAATAATTTTACATCACTGTGACGACGAACCAGTTGCATTTGATGCTAAATAACTACAACTCCCATCGACACTTGCGAATGTATTTACTACATGAGACAGTCTGCTGCGCTGTTTTCCGCACTGGCTTCGCTCGGCTTAAAAATAATAGTCTTTGTTTGTTAATAAGACGTTTTTAAGCTTATTGTGAGTCAAGCGGAAGGCTGTCTGGAGAAGCCTCTCGGATCACGTGCTGTCAACACCTCCGTGGATTTGCTGACAGCAACCAATTCCTATTTCCTCTTCTTGACTGGACAGACTCGTGTCATCTCCGGGTACTCACGAGACGGACTTTGTTGTCATGATTAGAAAATAAAATAACGCTCTGCACTTTATTTGACAGACGGTAGTAGCAATGAGGACCGGGAGATTTGGGCATTTGAATGGGATTGTGATTACCTGCATCTTGACGCTCTGTCTAGGATCTCTACACGCGATCGCGCTCAAATCAAAACTTTTTACAAGGTTTGGAGGGAAGACAAACGCCAAAGAAAGCCCAATAAGCTATAAAACACTGTACATTGACCAAAACGTGAGTAAAGAGATGCTGGAGTACTATGCTTCGTTGTAGGTTATTGTATTATATGACTGTAATATGGATATAGTGATATAACAGAGATGTAGGACTAATATGTGCAATTGCAATGATTTGCTTCTTATGTTGTGGTGCTCTGTGTGTTTATCTTTGATTTATATGCCACCTCTATGCTATTTAAAACCGCACTAGTTCTATAATGTCTTAATTAAGTAGTTATTGTTTATGTGCTGTGGCTAGACAATGGGTATTTGAGATGACTTCCTGTAGTGAAAAGTCCTGCTCCTACTACTACTGTAATATCCTGTTGGCTGTCTGCCTTGAAGGTCTTTAAGGGCCAAGTGAATGTAAAGAGAACATAAGTCTGCAGGATTCTTTTAAGCTATACATTGCAGATGAAGCAAAACTTCTCACAGAGTCAGATTTCAAGTTGTGTGTGTGGGCATCTGAGCACAGCTGCAAGCATTGGCTCATAAAGTCATACAGGGTCTGCTTTCAATGAAGGGGAAAAACAGGACTGTATGGTAGTGGGCTTATAGTGTGCCAGCATATAGTACAATGTTTCAGATCCAATTATTCATTTATTTTCCTACTAAGTGTCTATATTTACTGATTTGACCATATTTACAATTATGCACAGTAATGATTTTTTCAGATGGAGACAATCCACTGCACCTGGTTCAACTCAGGACATGGCATCCTGTTTCATCTAGTTTGTTCTCCTATCAATCAAGTACTGTCTGCTTTTATTGGAAGTTACTAACTTAGCCTATTTCTCAGTCAGTGGACTAGCAAATTAAACTTAAATGGAAGTTGTCTCTTCCACTAAACTACTAAAGTCTGTAACTCATTAACACTTTACTCCATCCTCAATCAAACAGGATGCCAGGAAGAGCACAGCCACTAATCAGTTGATGTCTACAGGAAATCCGCTTGAACACTCTCTGCGCAAGACAATGAATGGAAATGTCTTATAGCATCCTTCTCAGACAGGACCCCTCCTATGATTTGTCGTTTTGTTTTTCTCACAATTTGTATCATATAATATACACTGCAATTTGCTACAGTAAATGTATATGCCAGTATCAAATTATCAACATGCACTGTAAATTTGTCACTACCACCAGTCACCACTTGGGGGCAGTAGCCATCAATGTCTGCATTTCTTATAAAACTAGTAAATTTGTGAGCAACATAATAAGTGGGTGCAGTAAACACTCATCAGACTAGTGTTGGCTACAAAGTTAAATTATTGTAATGTTGTTAATGCTGAAGTAATATATTTGTCAGCTGAAGTCTGTAAGTCTATCTGGCTACTTAACACTTCTCTGGATGAGATGCAATATAATATTCTTCTTCCCCAGATTTTTTGTTGACAGGGGGTATTACATGTGAGCCAGTGTTCTGCCAGCCTCCATTTAAACAGTCTCAAGGCCCCCACACACTTTAAAGCACTGCCAAACACTAAGGAGTCGCGGGCTGAATGAACACATTGAGGCCCAGAATCTTTTAGCTGTCATTGGCTCATAAAATTGCTGCCTCTTTTGTTTCCTCTGAGAGGAGCTAGTGGGTGAGAAGAGTGGGAAAAAAATCACTAAAAACATTTTGTATCAGGCACTGAAGGGGTTTGAGTCAGTGGATAACTCTGGCATGGCCTCAGCCTCATGGGGTCATCCTTGCTGTGAAGTTGTTGTGATTCGTTTTACTTTTGTCTGCATGAGAACACAGGAAGCAGAGTTGAAAGGCAAAGATACCCCAGAATCCCAGAGGTTTGATCATTCCGAGAACTCAGCTAAAGTGGAACTAATGCGGCTTCCCTTAAACTGGCACCAACATTTTTCATACAAATTGGGGCTAATTACACAGAAAGTCTGACCTCAAGAGTTGTCATCTCACAGCCTCATATCTGGAACAGGGCCAAGCCTTTAATCACAGCTAGTCCACTACACTGTATCTACATAGCAAAACAGACATTATTAACATATTCTATTGTTTGTGAATTATACTAGTTTATATAGAATACTAGGGTAGGACGAGACATAAATCCCACAATACAATGAAAGACATATTGGGGCCATGAGAAAGAGACAAGAATTAATTTCACATTATGTTTCTGAAGTAGGCTGTCCCGATAGCAATAGTCAGATGATATTACTGTATGTCAATCTAACAGAGATGTGTTAATAATACATGTCTTTAAATGTACTAGTTGAGGTTTAAGTACAAATTAAAAAGTGGAAAGTGCAAAAATATAATAATAAATAATTAACTTCATATTTTTTGCATATTGCCAAAACAGCATTCACAATATTATCAATGTTTTGATAAATAGACACATGTACAAATATATTCTCTTTAGTGCACATTTTATATTAGGAAATTTTTCTTATGCCTTATTTTCAGTAATAACCTCGATCCTACTACTATTTTGATTGTTGTACTCTTCTCTTGTGTAATGTAGACTGGTGGAAAATATTACAAAATAATTCTCCAAAGGGACGATAATGTTGTGGCACAAGATCTTGGACCTCATTTGATTTCTACATATTCTACTATAATATGAAAAAAGCAATCCAGCCATCAAAGAAAATAGCCAGGAGACAGGCCATTTTTTTAACTGAGGAGAAAAATTTTAAAAGCATAGAAGATGGGAAAGTAAATGACACTAAACCATTTCTTTTTCTCAGATTGATCATTTTGGATTCCTCGAAGATGGCACTTTTAAACAGCGCTACCTTCTTTCTGACAAGTACTGGCACCAACCTGGAGGTCCTATTCTGTTCTACACTGGGAACGAAGGCGACATCACCTGGTTCTGCAACAACACTGTAAATCTCAAGAAACTGTATCTGTCATTTTCAAGTAAAAATGGTGATATTTTAACACATTTGAGTTTTGCAGGGATTCATGTGGGAGGTTGCAAAGGAGTTGGGCGCCATGCTGATTTTTGCGGAACATCGTTACTATGGAGAATCTATGCCGTTTGGAGAGGCTTCATACAGTGTAAGCTACAACATACATAATACTGACTATAAAGCACGTAAAGGGCCCATATTACACTGTTTTGTGTTTTTCTTTGTTATAATGTTTCCTCATCACAAACATACCTGGAGTTGTGTTTAGTTTCATTCACACATTCTGCATATTTAGGCAGAGTTGTTCTCTCAAACAGAAAACACTTTGTTCTTGTGAAGTCATGTGGTAATGGAGGAAGTGCTCCACTGTGTTTACTGTTTAAACTACATACACTTTCACTAGAATCATTTGGATAAATTCAGCCCTAGAATTGCCAATCTCTATTGAGCAAAAAGTACAAGGTGGAAGAGAGCATTTTTAGTCTTTGAGATGTAAACAGACTAACAACAAATGGTTACTGAAATATGTGTGAATGAAACAAAATACACTCTATGGTATGTTTCTGAGAAGGTAAAACAACATTCTAACATGGCTAAAAACTCACGACCCTTAAAGAAGTGATTTTTTTAAGTATCTAATACTAAACTATAACATATACCTGTAAACTTTGTAAACCACCAGACTGATCTTCAAAAGGCTTAATAGTAGAAATCGGTCCATTCATTTCCAGTTCAAAATCAAATCACAGAACCCCACCTATTCATAGTGCCATTTCACTGTGGCATGCAGCTGTTTCAATAACTTGTTTTTATAACCATTATAACATGGCTAAAAATCTATATGTCAAATTTTTTATATATTATTACTCTTTTGCTCACAGGACAGCAAACACCTGAACTTCTTGACTTCAGAGCAGGCACTGGCAGATTTTGCAGTTCTGATCAAAATGATAAAAAGCACTATACCAGGAGCCCAACGTAGTCCTGTTATTGCAATTGGAGGTTCCTATGGAGGGATGCTCTCAGCCTGGTTTAGAATGAAGTACCCAAATATAGTTGTCGGGTAAGTGAAGTTTTCTGTTATACTGATGTATGTACTTTTTAGGAAATGAAATCACTGCTTTCTTTTCTTCATCGTTTAATTTTTACCAATAGGTAGAAAGTCTTTGGATAGTTTTCAAAAGCATTGTCTGCCAGTATTCATATTAAAATGCAGGGTGTTTTTTCAGATTCATAATTGCTATGCCTGTACCCAAGGTAATGCATATGCACCGAGTTTGAAAAATAAATGTGAACTGGCTTTGTGTTTCAGAGCTCTGGCAGCCTCAGCTCCAATATGGCAGTTCCCTGGTATGGTGCCATGTGGAGCCTTCCTCAAAACAGTAACTCAGGACTTTGCCAAAAGTGGCTATAACTGTGAAGTGAACATCAGAAAATCGTGGTCGGCCATAAATAATATTTCCTCTACTGGTATGTATTTTTCAATAATCAAACTATCCTAATTTTCAGTCTTTTAGTGAGTTAAAGAGGATCAATTGACTTTATAAAAATGATTACTAGTTGTAGGTTTTAGCAGTTTGCTGAACAGGCAGTACTGAGTCTGAGGGCTAGAGAGGACAGTTTGAGAAACTGAATGTGTAGGATCCTTAAAATTTACAACCTGCATAACTCACAGCATTTCAGAGATTTGGTATTCTGCTCAGGTTCGAAGAGAGGCGCTACACTTAATTCTCTACTGAGAGCCCCATACATCATGTTCTACCTGTTTCTTATACTACCAAGCATAGAAAAAGGGGCTGCTTTTACCACAATTGCAAAGTAAAATACTAATGAAACAAATGTAATTTTCTATCCCAGATTTGCATGCCTGATTGTGTAATTTTTGAAATTATGCAGTCTCTGCAAATCCAGAGATACATTTACTGTAATAACATTAATAATAACTATTTCACTATTAGAAGCTTGTATTGGATTTGTAATTGTGCAAGCGACAGCATTTTGTCACTGTTCCAAAAGATGATTTAAATGTATGTAAATGTTTATTAAATGTCTTTTTCTAGTGGCTTTTGTCCCAACTTATTAGATACATGGTGAGCCAGACCTAGTCCCTAACTGATTTAATTTATATATTTCTTGTACATGTTTTTAAGCATCTGGTCTTGAGTGGCTGTCAGCAGAGTTTAGTCTCTGTGATTCTCTCAAAAACAAGAATGATGTGATGAATTTCAAAAACTGGCTCCAGGAAACATGGGTGAACCTGGCCATGGTGGACTATCCGTATGAAGCCAACTTCCTCCAGCCACTCCCACGGTGGCCAATCCAGGTACTGCACCAGAAAAGGTTTAAGAGACAAAACTACAACACACAATTCTTTTCAGTGGAATGTTGTTATTAAATATATATATATATATATATATATAATATATATATATATATATATATATATATATATATATATATATATATATATATATATATATATATATAATATATATATATATATATATACATACACAGACACACATAAATGCATAAAAAGAAATGTGGCAAAGTAGTTTAGTCCTAGCAGTATATGCATCTGAGTTTTAAATTATACAAACTTAACAATTCAAAAACAAAATTGTCTATGTTTTGAATGGTGAAAAGGGCATATACTGTGATAAACTATAATACTGATACTACTTTATGTCACTGACACAAAAACAGTGAAGCAGGATATCTTTTTTTTATGGGCAGTATCATTAAAAAGACATGAGCTGCAACAAATTAATGAGAATGAAGTAATAATTAGCCAGGGAAGTTATTTATTTATCCCTTTCCAGCTCAGACCTTAACGTATTACACTGAAATAACAAAACTCTCAACACATTTACAAAGAAATTGTACACACGATAAATACTGACCCTCAAAATATATTGTTCCAGATTTCATGTATTGAACAATATAGTAATTATCGTGACAGGTCAAAGTGTAAAGCCATATGACATTTATCTTTGTGTCCTGGTGTAGAGGGCCTGTTGCACTTTGAACATATTTAGACATTAAACTAGATTCAGAGCACTTTTATTTTTGAATAGTGTTTTTCAGTGCTTAAAAGCATCCGATTTGGCCTGACTGTCTCTCCTTAATTGGTCTGAATGAATGATCCAGCCAATTGTGTTACAAGTGTTTGTTGTGGTCTGTGGAGCTTTAGTTTTCCACAGCTGTCAATTAGCTTCATCAATATTCATAAGGATCTGGTTCTATTAGTTTGGTTTGAAGTATTCTTTAGATGAGCAGCTACAAGTAATCCTGCTTTCTTTTCTCTTCTTGTACCAAAAGCCCTTTCATTTGCACACTCCAGTACATCTCAGAGGTCTTCTCCTATGGGACGTGGTAAAGGGACGTTTGCCCAGGGTGGCTCTTGGGCCATTATACAAAGGGTCAATGCTTCTTCTTCAAAAGCACTGTAACAAATACTGAACTACTACACTGCTGGTACATATGATATATATGGGCAAGGCAATAGTCCACAGACCTTCACTGCACATAGGTTTAAAATAGTAACTTCGTACAATAATTCATTGCTATACAACTGGCAAAACAAGTGAAGCCCAACCAGGGGTTACATAGGTCTGTTTTTTTTATTTTGTTTTGTTTTTTAAGTTGATACTGAAGATTTATTTTGCTGTTGCGGTTCTAATTAACATTTGCTGATATTTTTAATCTATTGCAAAGTTATAGTAAAGTTCACTAATTCATTTGTGTAGTAGTACACCATAATAATAACAATAGAATGACACAGAATGGCACATACAGAATAGAACAGCTTAAAAAAAAAGTGCTATATAATATATACTAGTACATTGCCCCCTTCCTAGTGGCAAAAGGCAAAATCATTTCACTCAAATAAAACAACCTGCTGCATACTACATTGTAGTGTACAACACTTTAAAGGAAGCATATGAATACATAAGTTCAACATAATTACTGTTAAAGTAAGATATTTTCATTAAATCTTTTACTTTGATTTTGTCTCAGTGCAACCATTTCTGTGGGGGCTGACTAGTGTATAGCCCTCAGTGCATCACGTGCACAAACTACATTGTCCTATTGACCTTGATCCCAACTCTTTGAATACATCACTAGTCCCCACATTGAGCATACCTCCTTCTAACTTCATATATTTTTGTTTAGCCTCTGAATAGCTCCAGGTGCTTTGTATTAGCTGAAACAAACAGAAAAGGCCATTTAAAGATTTTTGGCAACCTGTCTGTAATGTATGCGACCCCTATGGGTGGTTTAAGCGGTTTAGGCCATGGGTGCAAAGAGAAGCTTTTTTTTAATGACAAAGCTAATGTGATTATCTGAGTGAGTGTGAGAACGGGCTATTGAAGGCTTAAAGCAGGGAAATCTGTTGGCAGAGATGAATGTATATGGCTAATCCTATCTGAAAAGTACAGAGAAGATGCTTTGGAGATGCTGTTGTTTTTTTCCGCACTGCAAATCTTAGATCGGACATGTCTGTGGCCCTCCTCATCCATCGACCACCAACTCCTCCCCGGGCTGACACACAAAAGCCCTGGTAACAGACTCCAGGGTTCAACCTCCAAACAAGAGGGCCCACTTTTTCTACCCTCACAAAAAGCATACAACGGCCAACTCTGCCACTGCCACCATAACAACATGCACCAGAATCGCACAAAGCTCAAACTCAAATATTAGCTGATGTCTGGAGAAATCATCTATGGTTAATCAATGTAGTACCAAGGAAAATATTCATTAAACTAAAAAAAGTAAAAGAATTCTAAGCAAATACATCAGAGTGGGTGTGTGAATTGCCAAGATCAGAGCAATAAATTCAGGCTCATTCAATTGCGTATGCAAATTAGGCGCCAGCACAGTTTATGTGAAAAACACTTTCTGGGCCTCTAGGAAGCATGTTGCCAACAGTAAGAGTAAGGAATTGACTTGTATAACATTGGCACACAATTTAAGCATTATTGTAGTAGTAGTGTGATGTAGGGTTGTTAGTATAAAAAACAGATACTACCTGATACTTAAACTAGTATCTAGATACTAATTTGAATAGTTTTATAATGATTTTGAACATTATCAATACTAATATAAGATCACATGGAAGCATAAAGAAGTTATCATATTGTATCAGGTATGATATTTTTGTATTGTGGCAACAGTTGCTTTTAGAAAATTATTAAATGCCAAAATTGTAATAAAAAAGAAATAAGTCTCAAGATGTTAAACATCAATACAGGCTGGTAGATTTAATTTAATGACTGTAATCTATAATTTAAAATCTCCTTTTTGTTTGTTTGTCCCATTTGACCTCGTAGGTTGTGTGCAAGTACCTCACTATGGACTCCACAGCTTCAGACAAACTTCTGCTGAGAGGTGTGTCTCAAGCAGCAAAGGTTTACTATAACTACACTGGGAGTTCCTCCTGTCTCAACATCTCCCAGACAGCAACAGGCAACCTCGGTATTTTGGGCTGGTTCTATCAGGTAAGTACTGATAATCCAGATTTGGTATTATTCTATTACTGTTTTGATATATTTTAATTATGTTATTATGTTTTATTAATATTTGATTTGCCTTTTATTATTGTAGATGAGTAAGATTGACTTCTACTGTATTTTTGAGATGTGGTCAAGCAATAAATTAAGTTTGGTTAAAGTTTCACTGTGTAATTTTTTAGGAGTAGGGTCTGCCAATTTCTATTCTCCATGGAGATGCTATTGCATTGGCTAAAATGTTCCACAGTACAATATTATTAAACCTATCTTCCTACTTGCCACCAGGCCATGATATAGGTTTGTAGAGATGCAAGCCCATTTACAGTAAGAACACATGTTTAACACATGTTCAAATATCATCTCCATGAATGCAAGCAGGTAGTGGACTCTCAGTTAGTTAATGCATAACTGACTCTTGAAACAATATTATGAAAAAAAGTGTAATACTGACCCTTTAAGGTTTGGAAGATGTTAAGACTCCCTCATGACTGACCTCCTGTCACCTCTGTAGGCCTGTACGGAGATGGTAATGCCCATGTGCACTGATGGAGTGAATGACATGTTTGAACCAGAAGAATGGAACTTCCAGGCCTTTTCGGATGAATGTAAATCAATGTTTGGTGTGAGGCCTCGAGCAGATTGGGCAGAAGTAGTCTATGGAGGCAAAGACATCGGCGCCCATAGCAACATCATTTTCAGGTGAGCAAACAACCACTAGATCAAAATTGCACTAGAAATGTTAAGATTATTTGGTCAATCGATCATCTAAAAAGTGTGGGGAAAAAAACAAAAAACTCACATACTACTTTGTGAATGAAATTACAATATTTGACTGTTCCTGAGTGTAATTACCACTAATAGTGCAAATTGATATGTTACATTGGAATACCATACAATTTCAAACCACAAATCTTTATCTACTGATTCAATTCTTGGCCCCATTAGTCCAATTTGCAAGTGTTTTCTTGTGTCACAGTAATGGAGTTCTGGATCCGTGGTCAGCTGGAGGAGTGACCCACAACATCTCAGAGTCTCTGGTGTCCATTTTGATTCCTGATGGAGCGCACCACTTGGACCTGCGCTATAGCAATGATCTCGACCCCCCCACAGTGAGAGCGGCACGGGCTTTAGAGATCAAGTACTTTAAAGAGTGGATCAGGCAGGCGAAAAAGGTTCACCGATCCTACTTAAACTCTAGACTCAAACAATACAAAGCATCATGGGAAATAACTGATGATGCCAATTAAGTTTTTATACTTTTGACAATGACACTGTGCACTGTGTTCTGCTTTAGCCAAAGATGTATTTCTTTTTTAAAATTCTAGAAATTTTTATACCTTGCTTAGAAATATATTCTCTCATTGCCATTATTCAAATACTTCAGAATCAGGTATTACTTTGCCATTCAATCTGCCTTGGTTTTATATTGGATGTTTACAACTTATTATTAATGCTTAAAATCAGCAAGACTACATTGGCAACTGCAACTCTAGCTTTTTATGTTATCTAAAACCATCTAAATCCACCAAACCAAATCATTTTTTGTGAACCAAAGAGGAAGTAGTTAGAAAATAGAGGAGTGTAAAATATTGTTCCTATGTGTTTGAAATATAGATTAGTTCAGACAAAATTATGCAAAATGCATCTCTACCTCAAATTACTGCTCTCAACTCATACTTGTTTTTGCTACTACAGAGGAAAATTGGTCTTTCTCACAATGTGACGTCATTTGTTACCTTTTCCAATAAAGTTTATTAAATTATCCATTTAGTTTTCTGTTTTAATCATAGACTCAGGTCAGTCTGTGCCACTTCTGCACAGACTAAAGCTGATTTGTTCAGCCATAGACGTCTGGCAGGAACAATTGCGTGTTTGAGATTTAATAAAAAGCCAATCGGAGGAGGCCAATAAAGTAAGTGGTAGGAGGTTATTGCATCTTCACTGGCTGACCTTACCCCTGTGGACCAACCTGTGGGATTCCCCTTGGCTCGTATTCATTTAACTCGACACCATTAAAACACTCTGAATTAGAGCAGCAGGGCAGTCCATAGACCCCAGTCTGTTGCCCCCTGCCAGTAATATTATTAATACAGCTCCCGGGGAGAGCAAAGGTGGATGGGAGGTTAAAAGTGAGAAAAAGTCTTTTGTAGTTCACAGAGAAGTCACTTTTTTTTCTTTTTTTTTTTTTTTTTTTACAAGAAAATGGAAGCCTAAAATTGAGTCCTGTTTTTTCAGCTACAAATGTTGGCATCTTTTACAAGACCTGAAAATCTTTTTCAACTTATAAGTACTTTTAAAGCTTCATCCAGGGAAATAATGTGAAACCACAAAAATAAAATAAAAAAATTATGTTAACATCTTCTGACCACATGTGACCACAACGAATTCTCGATACCTGCAACTCTCTGAATTTATCCTTGGTTGGGGCTGGTACACACTTTCAAAGATGAAACCTTTAACCTTTAGTTTACTCAAATCATCTTTCTTTTATGTAACCATGATACAATGGTGCACAATAGACTGCATGTCTTACACTGGAATGTGTTGATTCCCTAATAAAGACGCAAAACCGGACTCTACACATTGCTCCAGGCCTGAGTGATTCCCTGATGACCCAGTGGAAATGTAGCTAAACATGGGGGAGGACGTGCTGTTGAAGTTGGCGCTGCTTTGACTTTTCTCAGGACTTTGAGAGGCAATTAATTTTACCAGCCTTTTCTAAGTCTTTGACACCAGCTATCAATCAATGCTGTTATTGGTATTCCCTCAACCCCTAGCTCTAGTACGTCCCGGGACACTGAAGGGGACCACACACTAGTAAAGGAAGAGATTACCCAAACTCCGCCCCTCATCCCCCAGCTGCAGTTGGTGCTGCTGAATAAGTGGATTCTCTGAGACAGAGGGGTGAGTGGTAATGTTTAACAATATGTAAACAATATGGGACTAAGGTCTTTACTAATTAGGGGTGAGAACATTGGTAATGATTGTCTCTTTTACAGGATTGAGTTTTGAAAGGGCATCTGAGCTAAAAATGTAGGTGAAGAAGAGAAGACAAAGCATTTTTAAAAAGTACTAGTCAAAGGGTTAACATGCCAGTATATGTTTTGTACTAGTCCCAAGCCAAAATAAATTATAGGGTTATTTAAGCAGGGCAAAGAAAAACAAATCAACAAGACTGCACTTTCCATTTTTAGAGTAAAAGATTTTAGAGTAAAAAAATGGCACAACTGATACTTTGAAGTGACGTCATACTGGGGTTTTCTACATATATTTCTATGGCGGAATGTTCAGCAGTTACCATGATGCTACAATGCACACTTTAGCAAACACAGCCTGATACATTCTGAAACAATTCATTTTCAGGAGCCTGAGATCAATACAAGAGTCCATCGTTCTGTTGAAGTGTTTGGTTTTCATCAAAAAGGTGAAAGTTACTAACTGAAAAAACTGTTGACTAATACTAGTGCGCCTGTGACTGTAATTTGTTTGAAAGATTTGTTTAACAGTTCACAAATCAGCTCACATTTTGTAGCTCCAACCAAGTCAGTTCTTTAATGGTCAGATTGTGTTAAAACAAAGCTCAGATTAAAGTCTAACAAGCCTCAGACAGACAAGTGCTTATAGTTGGCATGAAATACCCAGGGAATGTTGATGACATCAGCTGCAAAGTATCAATTGTCCTAACCACAAAAAATTCAATATACTATATTCTATCTGGAATGGTCCTAAAGTCCTCATAATGTCACTGGTTAACAGAAAGCTGAAACTACATAAATAGCTAAATACATATTGTTCTCTGACAGACATATCATTCCAAATCATTATGCATAGAGCATCACGTGGCAGGTGATTTGCTGAGGGCACCGCTAAAGGCAAGAAAATTAAATAAATAAACTCAAATAACCTCAAAATAGTACTTTTCTTCTCTTAAAATTTTTAAACTTGCCCGTCGCAGCCCCAACCCCTTGTGCCCTCTCAGCCCTTTAAGCAACAATAGAAAGTTGTTTCCGGGCTCTGTGCGTCAGCCTCTGTGATGTGAATGACCCACCAGCACAAAAGCCAGAGCCCGTCATCCACTGCAAAAAGAAGGGGATATGGGTGCCATGACAGTGGTGATGTCACTTTGCCCAAACGCCAAGAAAAGAGAAGCAGACAAAATCACTTTAAGCAGGCGTTAAGAAGTTGCTTTGAGATGTACACAACACTTAACACAAAGATTTTCTCGCTTCTCTTACACTATAACAGTATGGAGGATTTAAAGAGACATAACTTTGGCTCCAACTTGTGACTTATAAACAGGAATCTGTTTTTTCATAATCAGGTAAATGTCATGTTTACTGTTATTACAGTTTAATGACTTACAAACTGTTGAGTAACTTCCTATAACTTTTTTCAAGACGTGTCTTGCTCTTGTTCTTGACCACAAACCAGTGTTAGACCTACAAAAACCCTAATGACAAGCCATCAGTGAGCAAAATAATTGAGAAAATTAAATTGCAAAATATACGTGTTAACTTCAAAAATGCCTCTTATAACACCTGTTACATTTCACCCGATCTGTTTCACAGCACATAACATTTGAACTGACAATACCACAATAAGACTACTGGAGACGTTATATATTATGAACAAGCTTAGACAGAGTACGAGTTATTGTTTACGACAGCAGCTTCATAGCCGGGATTTCTTAAGTTCGACATTTCTTCTGGCACACTAAGCCCAAACTGCACTTTTTTATTCCCCTTTAATTTAACAGCTCCGGCAGCTTTTCTAGTTAAATCGACTGTTCATTATTGAGACCCATTTTACGAAGGGGCTGTGAGGTGCAATTTAATGAATCTCTGGCACAAAGCTCCCTTTCACTGCCGGCCCGAAGAATAGGGGCTATTTAGACCCTGTAGGGCTTTATGTCAAAGGCAGCCCATAATAGTTGTCAGGCCGGGGCAGAAATTCCCACTGGCCTGGGAATGCACTAGAAATCAACTTTTGCCATGAGCAGATTAAGACACAAGTAAACTGTTGGGGAGATCCTCCTAAACAGTGGCATCTGTTTGGGCACAGTCATTTTCCCACAGAAAGACAATTTATCAACATTACTGTAGTCTTGAGAGCTTATGTAACGAGTACTTACATAAAAAGTAAAAAGATGGTTAAAATTTGGGCTGAAAAAAACCAAAACATCTGTATTTGTCATATAATACAAATTTAAAGAGATTACATTTTTCAGTTTGAACTCAAATTTATTGGTTTAAAATCCTGTGTAGTCTTCATAGTTGTTACAGTAATTTTCTCTGATTACATTCAAGGGTTTGTAGTGCTATGTGTACACTTAAGTATACAGGGACGTTTTGACAGAAGTTATTGTGCTCATCTCAGCAGGGAGCCTGACAGATCCCTCTTGGATGCAGGTGGTCTGGCCCAAGCAAAGAGTTAAGTTCCGCGGCTCCATTAGTCCCTCCCCTTTGATGTTCTGACATCACTATCCCCTCCCCCTGAAAGATCTCCCTCACGCCAGGCCAGTTCTACTCTGTTTACAGGAAACACATGAGCTACATCAGGACCAGGTGGAGATAGAGATATGCTTTGAAGGGCAAACTTTTTGGTGTGTGGATAACAAAGGTGTACGTCAAGTGTCACTTCTGGGCCTGATAGAGTTATGGCTGTACAGACTGCAATCATGAACCCGCAGTTTTTGAATTTCTGCTTTCCTGGTTCAGTGATGGAGTATGATGTGGAGAAAAGTCTGGATGATGGCAGTATTTTGGGTGAAGCAGAGACCGAGGAAGACTACAAAGAAACCACCAGGGATCTGCTCAGCTTTATAGACTCTGCCTCCAGTAACATCAAACTGGCATTGGACAAGCCAGTCAAGTCAAAGAGAAAAGTCAACCACAGGAAGTATCTCCAAAAACAGATCAAAAGGTGTACGGGGATCATTTCACCGAGCAACGCCGCAGAACCACCACCGCCGGTTAAAAGGCACGGGTCTCCCCCCATGGCCCAAACCAGCAGTGCCTTGCACACTAAAAACCTGCCTAAACGCGATGGGGTCCACGCCAACTTACAGAGCAAAAGCCTGGCAGCTCTGTTCAGCCCTGTGCAGGATGTTAGAGGGGGCGACAAAGCCAAAAAACCACCCCTCCGGCACCGCAACCTGCCCCCATCTTTCTTCACAGAGCCTGCCAACTGCTCCAGAGTCAGCCCCACAGCCGGGACAATGCTAAAGGAGTTAGAAAGAGGAAACACAGAGCCAGTGGACTTCTTTGAGCTGTTAGGCCCGGATTATAGCAGCATGGTGAGTGAGCAGGACCTTTATCAAACTTTGCCAGTTCGGGGGCACCCAGAGATGGGAGGATTGGAGAATGCGTCCTATGATTCTCAGCATTTAGTTGGAGGTCTGCTGTACTCTACTGAGCCCAAACTCACAAACACACAGGCACCTGGATTCTGTCACTCGGACGCCACCTCTGGGCCCACAGAGGATGGTTCACTGTGCACTTTGGCCTTCCCTAATTTCTTCACTGACTGCTCTATACCTCAGGTCACTTATGATATAAGTGGTGCATTCAGCAGGCCCAATTACTCTTCTCTATGAGACAATGGAGATTATGCTGTCGTATGACAGCATAATGGAGCTGAATGGAGCTGGATTTCTACATATCGCCTTAACTTCCTACCTAAGCAGAAAAAAAACAAAAACAATGACATGACAGTTGGCGTTCTTTAGTTACTGCTATAAAATGTTCCTCTTATAGCCTATAATGTACTTGACATGAAAGAGCCTTGTAGTGTCATTTTGTTTTCACTGATGATATTGCTGCTTTGTGATTTGTCTTAAAATGAAGAGAGAGGTTTGTCAATGTTAGACAGATAAATGTATGTATCTTTTTGTAAAGAATTGAATGTACTGTAAAATACAAGATGAATAAAGCTGGTCTTTATTAGCAATGATTTCATAGACTATACATGTAATAGACAAGCAACACATAAAAAGACTTAAAGAAATACTTAAAATCCAATAAATTAAAAGAAGAATAAACTGAATGTTTTTTATCAGTTATTTGATTTAGATATAGCATAAAGCATTTCCCACACATGCATGTGCTCTAGTTTTCTTTCTATTTTCCATTCATTAACAGCAGAAGTAGCAGTAATAGTCCTCTTCAAGTCGTTGACTGTTTATTTGTTAATTTGCTTCTATTTGTTTATTTATTAATTTGTTCTAAAACACAGCAGTAAGTAATTCTTACTTGTTTTTATAAATTGTAAACTTTCTCTCAGAATCAGGAAAATAGGCAGTATAAATAAAAATGCAAGACCACAAGTACAGCATTAGAGCATTCATCCAATAATCATTATACTTTCTACCCAAATTCTCCTGTACCTGTTCTGCTATTAGCAGCCTCAGTAGCAGTATAAATCGTACAAGCCTAAGGCTACTGCTTCAAATGCCTGGTCTGATAGCTCTATGATGACTGGACTTTAGCTGACCCTTCTGTGCTGTAGTCCCAACCTGTGGACCTCCAAGCCCTCTGCCTCACCCCTCAGGTCAGTCACCTACATGCCCACATACACATCAGTCTGTTCATCCCTGCTCCATTTAGGCTAATGGAATTTCGGAAAGTGTCCTCACACATAAATAAATAAATAAACAATCAAATTAATTAACATGCTACAACTCATTAATATAATAAATTATTAGTTCACAATTTAGGAAAGATTGGGAAGAGCAAAAAAGCCCAACTGGGATCAGTAATTTGGTTTTAAGTTTTGTTCTCTATAATCTACTTTTTCTTCAGTCCTGTCCAATGTATCGTGTGGGTGTGCGGCAACTATCTCCAATTGACCTACATTACTTAGTTTTCAGAGTGCAGACAAAACATCACAGTCCTCCAAGCCCCCACTAGATGGCAGTGTCTCTCTACAGGACAGCCACTGCTACCACTCCCATGCATAATGAAAGTCATCCCCATGTCATGAGAGAGATTATATCTAAAGGAGTATAGTGCTTTGAGCCTCAGTGGTACTTATAATACAATATAATAAACCTATAGTAGGGGTAAAAACATTCCACAGAGTTATACAAACAAGCAATAAGAGAATTAAGTTTGTATATTTATAAAAATGCTAAAATGATAACACTGCAGTGAACACCCTGCACTGAAAGTTGTTTATACCAACACTGACTCTTGTCGTTTCCTATCCATGGGTTTGTTTCTGGTATGTGCAACATTTTGAGGCGTTTTTTCCATTCAAAAGGTATAATATGTTGTTTTAAATTACTAATCCCTATGGTAACAGTCTGGATTTTTCATGCTTCTGAAACCCATGGATATTTGGCATTGTTCCTAGGTTAATGTTAGCATGGGACACACAACCCCTATACGCAATCAGCACGCACAGAGACCATATGGATTTCCTGTCCATGAGTAGCTAGTGGTTGATATATCCAGATTAACTTCCATGGAGCCACAGTATCCAGCTTTGATTTAAGGCACAGAGGAGATGTAATGTTTGTCAAAGCGATTAGCAAGATCCAAGCTGGCACCGACTTGAATAACAAGTGCCAGATATCTAGGTAAACTTAGATAATGTGTGGTACGGCATATGGTCCCTCCAATGCAAATACGTGTATGTGAGAGATTGGACGTGGTGTATATATAAACATAAGGCACACCGGGATATTGCTGCAGTGTGGAATGAACCAAGAAAAACCTATGCATTTTAGAGTTGTTTTCTTGGTTGCGGGCTGGAAATGGAGTATCTATCCATACTTGGCCCAGTACTGACCTTTCACAGCCTTCATCTTTGTGTCTTGTTAACACCAGCAGGCACACAGCAGATTCACAGCTCTGTCCAGGCCTCCTCAGCAGCACACCAGTGAACTCTGTAGACACAAGCTGCGTGTCTTTTCTGGATCCTATTTTGCAGACAAAACAATATAAGTTATTAAATGTTATTCAATCAAGTATGTTCAAGTTAGCGGATTTATATCAACGTAATGTTATCACTATTCACTGGTTTCAGTTTCTTGTTATATGCACCATTTTGAGGATCAGAATATTTTGTTTTAAATGGTCAATTGCTATGACAGTGATTGCCATTTTTTGCCATTTGGAAAGCCATGGATACAGGTCACACAGCATGGTAAAGAAGAAACATTGCATTTATGTAATCATGCTCATATATGGTAAAAGTTAATTAAATGTACTTTGATTGGCAGGCTACATCACTATGAGATGTATGGGAATGGCAAGCAAGTACAGTATTGGATCCCATAATCCTAATTTTATAATTATCTAGACATATTCTGAAACTCTGAAAAATATCATATAGCCTATTTCCATGCTAAAAAATAAAAATAGAATAATATTGTAAAATAACATCTTGCTTAAATAGAATAGATTATCTCCTTGCTAAAATTGTTCTTCAGTCTAGTGTAGGTGAGTAGAAATGTGTAACCTGAACTATAATATAATTAACTTTAGTGATGACTTGGTAACATCTATCTTTAAGATTTTCAGTACAAGCGTTTGGCTGCTTTGTCAGCGATACGTCTATAGGTACCTTTTCCTCATCATAAAAATGTTGTATGTTCTGCCATCTTCAAGGCCTCACATACAATGGGATTTGCTCACTGTAAACAAGGTCGACCAAAGAGATATGAGCCTCGCTGTTTCCCAGTGCTGAGCTGCGAGCCCCTTCACAGCGAAAGCAGTAAGTATCAGGCAGCATTAATGTTACATCAATAATGCATTTGTGCCTCTTCCTTTCATGTCTATGGAAAGTGAGATTCCCCCCAAAAAGACAATTTGCTTTAAGCGCTGAATATTTCCCTGCATGTATTTCATGTCTCAATGCTTTCCATTTAAGACTGCATTCGTTTTCAGTAGACACTCTGTTTTGCTCCTCAGGGTGTTGTGGGGACGCTTGCTTACATCTGTGTGTTTTTGACAGTGTGATAACAATAGCACACTGTGACACAAGTCCAAGCTACATTAAAGGCAAAACTGAATAGAAAACCAAAGCAGATGTTAACAATATTGACACACATAATCTGATCCTTCAGATTAATAAACATTAGATCATGCACTCACATTACATCATGCACAAAGGCGGATAAGAGGACCCATTTTAAATATTACTTTAGGTTTATGGCAACATTTTGGGAATGTGTGAATATGGGGATTATGAGATCAATCAAAAAAACAATCAGCGTGTAGTGTAGTGGCATATGGTTTCAGAAATGTATTGTTTTCATCAGAAAAAATATGGTATTGGAAAAAATATTATCTTGCATAAATTTAAACAGTAAGCATTTATACTTTGCTCGAGTACAGCACTCATACTTTGTTCCGAGTTTAAAAATTTGGCATGTTGTCTTAACTTTACCAGTATGTTTGCTTTCATTGGCTTGTAAAGGCAAAACAATACATATTGAGGTACACTGACATTTTCTGGTGGAGCGTCCGCTACCCATGGTCTCCATGGAGATGTTAATGCTTTGCCTGGAATGATCCATGCTATGATTTAAAACATTTCCATCTAGCATTTATTCGTTATGGGTGTTTTTATTGCTCAAAAATACAATAATTTCTTCTGTGAATAAGGGCAAATCTCCACAGATCTGAGGTACCCCCCCTTCCGATAGACAGGGTTAGTCTGTTCTGTGAAACATTATAGAAAAAGCAATGATATTTCCATGGAGACAAGAAGATGGAAAACCCTCCACTATGTTGCACAGTGCACCTTTAACATAAGAATAATCATGTTTTTGTACCAGAATATTTACACTTTATGAACCTCACTACAGAGAAGTCTCATCCTATCTGACCATGCAGCTATTTTCAAGCGCCCTATCTCCCTGAAGTCACGCCCGGTGCACTAATGCTTTTACATGTAACTTCCCCAGGTTGCTCCTCTTATCTCTGGTCATGCTCCATCAGAGCAGCAGCCACAACTTTGAGGCTTTATGACCAAGAAAGTTGCACACAAAATGAGCCAGTGGACAAGGGACTAGTGCTCTGGTGAAAACTCCAATATGCCTTTCTTAAATTTAGAAATGATGTATTGGTTTGGACGTATTTTAAAACTTTCCATTTTATCACATCTTAATATTTATGTAAATGAGTAATATATCCATCACAGTCATTTCAAGTTATTAATGTAGGCAGATGATATAATGTTAGCTGCTCTATTATACCAAGGGGATAATTTTTTTTTTAACTAAATCACTGTTTTTGTAATGTTTTTGAAGGAAAAGCTAAAATGAAAACTTGCCTATCAACTTTTTCTCTGTGTGAGCTGTCTGGCTGGTGACAACCTGATAATAACAAGTAACAAATTTACTTATTTGAATTCATTTTGGTCCTTACAGGTTTTTTTTTCCCTCCAAGATACTATTTTCTACTTTCTCAGTGCAAAGCATACACTGGTACATTTCTAGTCACTTATGAATAAAATACATAACCGAAAGATAGTGGGAAAATAAGCTGGACTTATGACCAACTATATCTTATCTGAAAACCATACAGGATAGAAAATATACACACATTTCCATTTTATCCTAACAGTGACTTCATATCATAGGTTACA